ATACCAAACGGGTTATTTACGGCCCGTATACGGTCGTAATTTCGACGGATACGGCCGTTCACGTCATCGTAAACGACTGTGTACGGCCGTTTACGGGCACAGTAATGTTCGACCTGGGAGGTCAGGCAAATACAACTCATACAAAAATTGTTTTAAGTTCAATGTCTCCATAATAAATTTATATTTTTCTTCGCTTGTCTAAGTGAAAAATTTTATTTTATTTATGCTTTACAACTCTTCTATAACTGACTCATTGCAAAAAAAAGATTATAATAAATGTGATTGGCTTAAAATATGATCTAATGAAGAGAATACGGAATCAGTGACAGAATAGAAGTTGCGAAAGAAATGAGATATCCTTAGTTGTGATTCGTATCGAATCCATTCATCCACTCAATCCATGTCGTCTCTTTTGTAGCAACTACGATGTAGTTAAGCGTAGCTACGTGCAACTGCGATTTTTTCATCGTAACTACGAAGTTTTTTACGTAACTACACATAAGTATTGCATAATTTTTCGCAGTAACGGGTCACGGTGCAGTCTTAGTTATGTCGCAACTGCGAGATAATTCGATTGTAATAGAAAACGTGGCAGATTACACAAGCACGGTCATAAATAACCATGTGCAAAAAATACAGCGATTTACACAGCTCACTCTTACGATTGTACATCTCCATGCCATATTCGGAGAACAAACGACCCCAGTTCAAACAATCGAATAGCAAGATCTTATAAGTTCGAACGTCTAATCTTGTCTTATCTTACAAGATCAGATGGAAACTCGTACGAAAAATCATCGTCTCTCATAGCTTACTGTAAGTCGAATAAACATATTTTTGAAAGATCTTGCTGCTTTCTAAAGATATCACTATAAGTTTATCGAAAAGCTTATGTGTCCGTAAGATCTTTCAAGAATCTTATTATCCGGTTCAGAGTAAGATATATGAGCGATGATGATTTTTCGTAAGATTTCATCTGATTTAACAAGATCTTACGTCTGGCTTTTCGGTCTGTGCTCATACATATTGCTAATGAGCTTCTCCCACTTTTTCCTGGTCTTGTTTACTATTTTTACTTCATATCCTTATGAATGAGTCTCTCATGTCTTGCATTCCGTTGGGCGTGTTTTATTGTTCAGTGCGAAACTGTTACACTCATCGTGCTTAGTGTCTCCTGGTTGCAAAAAGCAACTTTTTTCTCTGTCTGCAAGACAAATTCACTATTTCTTTTGTCACTTCTGTACATTCACATCCCTGCGCAATATCTGCCATGCCTATTCACTTTTTTCATGTGTACATGTTTAAACAGGTGCATATATTTTCTTCGCAATTAATCATTCAGAAAAAAATCTACAAAATATGTTCTCCTGCGTATTTTTACCGACAAATCTTGCTTGTTGTAGATGGCCACAACTGTCATCACCGAAGATGATCAGTCGAGATGTCCGATGATATCATCGGCAATGTTAGATGCAACAATTCCGATTGTAACGGTGGCCAATTCACTGACTTTGGCATCGACAGATCATGGCGAAACTATGAAACCGATTGTTTCATTTGGTCTCGTTTCTGATATTCAATATGCTGATAAAGACGATCATCCCAACTACTCAAAAACTCGTCTGAGACGCTATCGTAATGCATTGAAATTGCTCGATGAAGCTTGCGACTATTGGATCGAACACAAATACGGTATCTCCTTTGTGCTACAACTAGGCGATTTGATCGATGGTGCATCGGCAGCCGATAACAAGTCGCAAATTGCTCTGAATACTATTCTTGCTCCGTTTTCTAAACTTCCTTCGTCATGTCGTGTCTATCATATTTGGGGTAATCACGAATTGTACAATTTTCCTCGAGCAGAACTTCTCACAGGTCCACTGTGTTCATTCGACACAAAAGATATCTTTCCTGGACACTATGGTACATTTCAAGTGTGTCCAGGTTTGAGAGTCATCGCATTAGACACGTTCGAATTCAGTGTTTTGGGTGTGGATAAAACAGATGAAGCCTACATACGTGCCAAGGAATTCTTGAAAAAACGCAATCCTAATGAGTATGGCAATGATTATTATGGTCTTTATGGCGATCAACGACGATTTGTTGAGTTCAATGGTGGAGTAACACCGAAGCAACTCGATTGGCTACAGGAACAATTGACACAAGCAACGAAATTGCACGAAAAAGTGATTGTCATTGGTGAGTCGCATTGAATTCATCTGTAAACTCTTTTGTTTCATTTTGAAAAAGAAGAGCGAAATCTGAGTCATATTTATCCTCAATGAGATTCTTTCGATCATTCACACAACTGTGGCTGCTATCAAGTGCGTCAAAATGTTTGGAATATCGCATATTCTGCATATATCTCAGAGGAAACCACTCGAGGTGTCCCATTGCTTCTCAGCTCCTATTTTGCGCACAGGTAGGTGACTGTGAGACCAGAATAATCCTAAGAGGATTTGTGCGGATGGAATCTTCTTCTTCAAATATCTAATTTTTTTCTTTATTTTTAAGCAGATCCATGTCATCCTCGACCACATTACCTTTAAAATTGATTTTCGAGTTTCGATGTGAACACTTTCCCAAGCAGACGAAAATTTGTAAAAATGCGTTTAAACTCTCAAAGTGAACATTTTGCGCAAAAAAGCATTTCTTGCGTTTTTTAAATAAGCATTAATGGCTCATAATCGGGATTCCATTTTAAGCGTTTAAACGTGTTTTTCCTAATATTTGTCTGCTTGGGTAGTTTATGGCGAAGATCTCACATCTTTTAGTTATTTGTATCATCATATATGAAGATTGCAAATCTAGTGTGGGGCAAAACGTATTTTGTTCTTATTCACGTATCTGGCAACAGAAGCAACTGAAAATTGCGAAATCTTCGTCATAGGCTAGTCTCGTCAAAGGTATCCATTATGGACAGTTTCAAGCCAAAACTCGAAAGCTCATTTTCAAGATGACCTGAGGGACTCACAGGGATTTGTTGAAAGACATCATAAAAACTCCATATCTTAAGAACGAAGGTCTAGGCACATGAATATACTTTGCGCTATTCTAGTCTCGTAGTCACCTATTTATTCGCGAAATAGGAGCTCACAAATGATGGGACACCTCAAGAGGTTCCCTCATCAGCATGAATAAACCAACAAACATGTATACTTTTTAAAGATGTGCCGCCAAATTCTCCACTGAAATAGAAGCAAAAAAATTCCGTTGACTTGTTTGGATGATTTTCTATGAGATTGAGAGTGAACTATTGCACGATAATGCTATATCCCACTATTCTGGAGTCAACAAAAATCAAAGCAACATTCATTATTTTGCATTGGCGTCAGCTCGAACGAATCATAAAACCTTGTAATTTTTCCAAAATGTGTACCGTTAGATTCTCTACAACGTTTTAAGTAAAGGATTCCCTTTAGTTGTTCTGATAATGTCTCATAAAGTTAAAAATAGCCCATGTGGATTGAATAATCGTTTTGTTCTCCCAATTCGTCTTGTTCCTGTTCATACGCGCGCACGGATAGAACCAATTCGGTTATATCACTGTATACAGCGATGAATTGTAATACGATGAAGCTTATTTGCTGGTATGGTTGGCATTTCTGGAGCTTTTTTCTATTTTTAAATTGAAAAACAGCGTCATCGTGAAGATCTTCACTTTTCATCATCCAAAAATCCACCAGATCAATTCAAGAGAATGTTTTACGTCAAATATTGTAGAGAATTCAACAGCGCAACTTTGTGAAAACAATTCAAGATTTTATGATTTCTTCGTGCTGAGATATATACCATTTAGTCAATGTTCCTTTGATTTTTGTTGACTTCAGAGTAATGGGATATGGCACTATAGTAAATATTTCACTGTCAATCTCATAAAAAATCATCCGAACAAGTCAACGGGACTTCTTTGCTTCACTTTTTGTAGAGAATCCAACGGTGCATCTTTTAAAAAGGTTGGTATTTTGATGACTTATTCATGCTGAAATATATACAAAGTACGCGATGTTGCAAAAATTTGGACGCGCCCAGTATATCTCGATGAGAAGAGCTGTAACTCTTTCTTTCTCATTCAAGGTCACATTCCAACTCATCCGATCGTTGCTGATGGTCTTCCTCTTTTATGGAATTACGAAGAAGTCTTGGAACGTTTCTGGAAATTTGACATGACAGTTGTTGCTTACATTGCCGGGCACGATCATGAAGGTGGTTACTTTCGTGATCACAAAAATATCCATCATTTAACATTACCTGCGATTGTCGAAAGTGAACCAAATACGAACGCTTTCGCTACTGTGCACGTGTACAGAGAATATCTTCTGATTGCAGGTGTGGGAAATATTGGTACCTATCGGTTCGATTGCGCACTTCAAATCTAATCAGTTTTTTAAATTTTATGAATAAAATCCTATTATTAAGTCCAGAAAATATATTATTTTCTAGATTTTCCATTAATTTACATTGAATTCAGAACAATGCGTCCCTGCAATCGTGGGTGTGTGGTGTGGATGAAGATAAGACACACCCACGGACATCTACACCACGTACCCACACCCACACGCACTTCCATGCCCACACTTGCAAACGCTCAGACACCAACATACTTCGCCCAAAATGGACATAATTTCATCATTCTTCTCACAATATATATGTGTTGCTGAACCAGGTCTACGTTCAATTAATCACAGAGAGCGTAACACACGAACAATATGAACTTCCTCATACTCTGCATCAATGCAATTGATTATAAATCCACGTGTTGTTAAGAAATTGAATAAAAACCTACATTCCTCAAACATGCCAAAAGATCGTGCCTTTTTTATTTCATCGGATCAATTTCCATTGTTACATAACCTGTATTTCCGGTATTCTAGAGAAAATATACGATTCGGTTTTATATATTTCTTCACAAAACCCACGACAGTTCCATCAAAACAGGAACCTACATAATCCATACCATAATTTATCGCCCAATATACAACCATCACAATCTTGACTTTGGCAGCTCTATCCCACCACTGGTCTTAAACTGTAACTGTCACTATGTCATAGATTGTTCACACAATGTATTGTCATAGCAGAGTAGAATTTAGGTTTAGTGTTTGGTTTTCGTAATCATAGAGATCTACGTAGTGGTTAAAGCCAAGTGGATTCATTTTTGCTGGCATATAATCTGGATTTTGGCAATTCGATCACACCCACACCCATTTCATCTAACATAAAATATTTGCAAATGCCACTATCCAAGTTGCTGATGTTCATATTTATGAACGCTTCAATTTAGGGGACCAAAAACTCGATTTTCTAATGGAATAATCGGTTGGTTTAAAATCAAACACGATTGATTGAAACATTTGACGAAGTTATTTGAATCTTTCTATATGGGATGGAAATAGTATGAGTTTGGGTGGGTAGGTGTGAATGTGAGCGTGTCTTAATTTCATCCATATCCACATTCACACCCACACGCTAGCAAATCTAGTCAAGGAGAAAAGTTGCAGAAAGAACTTCACTTTTTCACAGTAAATATCCTAACTGATGATTGAAAATCTGAAGTATTAGGGAAAGAAAATTTCCAGGAAAAAAACACAGAACGCAAAAACTGTTTAGGAGAAGAAAATCACCCTTCTTTCCCTCCTGCTCCGTCTTATCGTATGCTATGGCTTTTTGACTGTTTACACCTGTTGATTATTCGTGTTCAACAAATATGAATTCACTGAAGAATTGCCAATTGAAAGCAATAAGTTGTAGTACATTTCTCTGACATCACTGTTGTTAGTCATTTTTACATGGCTTATTTTTCTTTGAGATCGAAAATTCTTTTCAATTATACTGCACGTAAATTATCTATGGAATAAACAGCTGTATTTATTTATTTTTTGTTAGATTTGTTGAAATCATAGTTTTGCCTATCTTTGAACTTTCATGTATTCCATCTTAGACAACTATTAAAAACATTACCATATCACTGAACACGCCACTATAACTCGAGTTAGAAAATAAAACCAATACAAGGTAAATCGTTATTCAAAGATCAAATTCATTAAAAGTTAATATGATCTATAATGCTCTGGTTCTTTTTCATGAAAATTCAACTTGTAATCTATAGATGGACATCAGTCCTTTGAACATTGAATAGAAAAACACTTAAGCTTTAATTAATTGATATCTGATGAAAATACGTGAATTAATTTATGTATAACAGATAGAAAAAAAAAAGATTCGTTATGAGATATATGAAAATTTTCATTGTCCTTTCATAATCTTCACATTTTTCTTGACTATCTGTCTAAAAACAACTTTACATAACTTGAATATTTTATTTGTAATTTTTAATTTAAGAAAGATAAATATTGGCGAATCAACATCCAAATTTTAATGGTGGTTATATATCGTCTTGTCTTTTAGGAAAGAAAAGTTAAGTTCAACTCGACCATCATCCTCAAAAAAGTGAAGAGACTTTTCGACACATTTAAACATTGTCTGATTGAAAGTTAAGAATTTGAAAGAGTAAAAGTTCTATCATATCCCACATTCTGATATGTTCATTCAAACAAAAAATTAATTAAATAAATTAAATGAATATCAACAAAGCATTTCGGATTGCTAAATAAGCGATTTTTGTCTGTTGTTTGATAAATATTTCTCTTAAATGTCATGATATAAGATTGATAATGTAAGACAATTTGAATGTAGTTTATGTACGATTTTTTTTGATAGGAGATGGAAAGAAGTTTTCAGTATAGTTTTAATAAGTATTTCAGATGATTCTACATGCTTTTGCCATTTGTGTTATTGCCCGCTAGTGGAAAAAAAAACAATTCTAAAATAGTAGATCAACGAGTGATTTTTTTTTTCAGTTAATGAATAACTGTTTTAATTATAATTTAAATTCAAACGAAATTCTGAGATTTTTATAGGTAAAAATAAATTCATTTGCATTGTACTACGAATTTGTTTTCTAATATTAGACTTTGATCTAATTTAGAAGTTGCAAATGTGGAAAAACAACTAACCAATGAACAACTTGATTAATAAATACGAATATAACGTTTTTATTGTTTTTCATGCAAATTTCCTATTAATTAAATTATAAAATGAACAAATCCGCTGAACTGACAGAAGCTAATTAAATAACCAAACAATGGAATAAGAATGATTTATTTCGTTTCGATTTGTTCGTTAGTGTATATTTTCATTATATTTATTCAATATTGAAATTTTCTTCTTTATTTACACTTAATTTAGATATGAATTTTTTTTGTGTAATCTGTTATAAATCTTGTTATTTGCCTGTATTTTGTTTTTGATGACCATTAATAAAATCGGATATTGTCTATAGTCAATGGACTAGTGCATTTGTTTCTCTCGAATAATGATGATAAGGTACTAAATAAAATTAAAGTTTTGTTATTCTTACTTTTCTTGTATTAAATCGAGATTAACTCATAACATATTTCATCTCTATTGTCATCATTAAATTTTATTGAACGATATCGTTGAGTGTGCATAATCACTATTCTTTTATTTAGGGTGTAGATGTGGAGTGTCTACATCTAACCTGATGATAATTATACAAATGCTTTATTCATGTGTCTATCGATAAAACTATATACAATAAAAAAGTATTTGTATCAAATATCTAAGTTAAATTCTTGTTTTGTTGAAATTGCTTCTTTTAGTATGGCTTTACCTCTTTCAGATAGAGCACAATTCGATATCGACAAGGTTTTCAATGAATGATTACGTTCGAACATATCCATCAGAAATGAAATACTGGAATCATCGATCAACTTATTTTCTCTAACATGTAAATTAGATAGAGTTGTATTGTTTTTGATAAGTACATCAATCAATAATTGCATTCCTTTGTTGCTTATTTTATTGTTATCTAACCATAAATGAGTCAATGTTTCATTTGTTCTTAATCCATCAGTTAAATACTGAACACCATCATCAGTAATTTCATTATCAGCCAGATTTAATTTTTTTAGATTGAAATTAGTAAATACAAGTGATTGAGTTAAATAATAAACGCTTAGATCACATAATTGATTAGATAAAATATATAATTCTTCTAAAGTTGAATTACCATGTAATGCATCACCTAAAATCATTGCACCATTCAATGTAATATGATTTGAATATAATATAAGTGTACGACATTGTTTTTTTACGATAGCTAATTCGACTACAACATTCATATCTTCGTCAGTCAATGATCGTTCAGATAATTGGATAGTTTCATGAAGTTCATAAGAATCTATTAATTTTTCGATTTTTAACTCATCAATCAGTATTGTTGGTGGAGTAATGAACAATGAGTTATCATCATATTCATTTGTACCATCAGATATTGTGTTGATCTCTGATAATATCTGGCATTTGGTTGAATGTTGACGTTCACAGACAATCTCATCATCTTTCCTATATGAATAAAAAATTTCTACATGTTTTTCTGAGTGTGATATCGCTAGAATGTTTAACAAATTGTAAAGAAATTCTCTTTTATCAAGATCTATCCTATTCGAATGATTTTCTAGAAGCTTCCATAAGAGAAGAGAATTTCTATTGAATAAAAACAAAAAAAGAAAATCTTATTCATATACCTTGTGCAACTTGCGGATTGATTGATATTTGTATCGTTCGAAATATAAGCAATTTTTATATCTTCAATCAACTGTTGACATGTTGGTCGTTTGTCTAACTGTTGATGCCATGCATTGGTAATAATTGATATAAATTTTTCTGGCACATTTGAAGGAATTTTTTCTCGAAATCCATCCATAACATTTCGAATAATATCATCATCATTCCATTGATTATAAGGTATACATCTAGTAGCTAATTCCCAAAAAACAATTCCTAAACTATAAACATCACTTGCAAATGAGGGTGAATTTGATTGAAATAATTCTGGTGCTTTCCATCTTAATGTTCCTGCTATAATTATTTTTCGATGATGTTCTCTTTGAATTTCTTCTTGCATTTTTGCTAAACCAAAATCACTTACTTTAACAAGATAACCTGAAGAATTTCTATCCAAAAGAATATTTAATGATTTTATATCTTGATGTATAAATGACATCATATGCAAATAATTGATACCTTTGGTCATTTGAAGAGATATTGACCAACGATCAGACCATAATAAATGACATTGTGTATCTTGCAATACATCAAATAATGATCCTAATGGCATATATTCAACAATAATTGCATGATAATTTGGTTCTATACATGCACCAAAAATACCAAGTAAATGATCATAGCGAATTTGATACATGATAGAAATTTCATTGAAAATATTTTGTTGAATTTTATTGGTTAATTGATTTAGATGAAAAACTTTAATGGCTACACAATGATCTCGACTAATCCAAATGCCACGATAAACATTAGAAAATCCTCCATGACCAATTAATTTTTCAATTTGTAAATCTTGTTTTAAAATAGAAAGAAAATTACTTTGTTGTTCACGAGATGATCTTTGTTGTAAACGATTTTCTAATGAATCAAATCTTTGATGAATTTCATTTAATTTTTTATTTTGTTTTGTTACGGATAAAGAAAGTTCATCAATTCTAGATAAGATTTCATTTAAATCTTCTTGTCTATCCATTAAATCTTGATTATGATCAAAAATTGAATTGACATTTAATGCTAAATTTAGTGTAATCGTATGATTTAATAATTGATCATTAAGTCGAGCAAATTGTTTTTGATAACTTGTATTATTCCAATATTGTCCAAATATTGAAGTATCAGCAAAGACTTTTATCAGATCAAGACTTTGTTCAATTGTTTCATTTAAACTTTCTAAAGCTTCTCTCATACCATGATCATTAAAATTAGATATGGAAACTTTTTTTAATATGCTAACTATTAAGTCCACTCGTTGGCTTAAGCCTAGAAAATTCATGTAAAAAACAAAAAACAACAAATTATTTATTTCAAGAAAAAGGATGAAAAGTTCTTTCCACTTACGTTGACATTGATGTTTATTGGCTTTCACATGTTGATTGATATTATAAATAGTACTAGAGTTTTTATAAATATCATTCAACAACTTTATTGAAGGAATAGCAAACATGGATCGGAAAATTCTTGTTTTTAATATTATCAAAGATTTTATAAAAGTTTTGAAGACACTTTGATATAGTCGTATATTTGCAAACGAACGTAACTAATCATTCTGACTGACGATAGTCACATTTTTGTAATAAAAAAAAATAAGATGCAACATACGTAAATATCTGAGTCATACAGTAACAGAAAGGAAAAAGCCAACGACATATCTGATGAAACCTTATTAATTCGTTTCTTCCATTGAGTCAGCAAAAACCATCATAGAAAATTTCGAAAATTTCTCCCTTAAAATCAAGAAACATATTAGTAACCGTGATTCCCCATTGTTTTGAAAAGTAGGAAAGACTAAAAATTCGGTCAAAAATCTGAAAATTTCGACAGAAACGGAACAAAAAAAAATGCTTGATACATCCCTTTTCTATCAGAATTTACCAACAGCGTTTGAAAAATTCATCAGAAAGTATTAGAAAATTTCCCAGATGGTCGAACATATTTCCATTTAAGGGTGGGGGTGGGGGGCAAACTCTCCTAGCCCCTTTCATTAGAAAGCCTGCCAGTAATCATTGTACATTGAGCCGAAAACACAACACAAACTCTATTTATCGATCAATTTAATTAGAAAATCAAAATATTTCATCACAATAGTAAGATCAGACTTCCTTTTGGAGAGAGTGAAGAATAAACTAAAGTTCAAACATGAAATGCATTTCCGTGCTATAATTTAACATCACTTGATATTTAGCGTATGAAAACAAAGAACGCACTCAATTTAATAAGGAACATTGAGGAAGACTGACTGATTATTTTCAGATAAGTACAGGAGATGACATGACAGGCTTTACTGCATTCAAAGGCAGAAACGCTTATTAACGGCAAAAGATCAGTAGATCAAACACATTATCGCGAATAATTTCTTCGACATGATTCACTATGTTCGACAATAATTCATTATTTCCGGTTTTTAAAGAAAATCAACACATTTGAATGCTTGCTCCTTGATATTCATTAAAGTACAGGATATTTATTCTGATACTTCTACTTATATAAACATACTTGTTATGAAAACTATTAGTATATAGAACATTCTAGCAGACTTGGGACAACTTTTTTTCGTTATATCCGTGAGATTATGCTACCCATGTAAAAATCTTTGCTAATTTAACGAAACTTTGTGACGTGAAAATTCGTTAAAAATTTAACGATTTAACGATTAAAAATGTTACAATTTGATCATGAAAACGCGTTAAACGTTGCCAAAATTAACGCGTTTAAACGCGTTTTCAAATTCTAACGATCTTTTTTTCGTTAAATCAGTACATTTTTTATGATTTTTTACACGTGAATTTATCGAAAACGCGTTAAATACGAAAACTGATTAATATGTTACCCCTCAGAATTTTTCATACATTATTATTTACTGCAAGTATGATGAACTTCTTTCAATAATCAGCATCTTGCTTAGTTTCACTCGTCTGAAGAGAAAAGTCCAGATAATCAATTCAATATTGGATGTACTTTTTAATAAGATGCTTCAGAAAGCATTGCTATCACTATACATATTTCGTAATAGATAGCAAAACCAACGAGGAAGTACAATATTTTTTTTTATTTTGTCGATATCTCGAAAGTGAACCTATTCAAGGCTTTACTTGCTACAATTTTGCATTCTTGTAGGTACCAGAAATGTATTCCATAGTTGACAGAAATTATAAGACTAATACTAGTTTAAAATCTGGGATATCGACAAAGTAAAAAAAAATATTGTACTCTTTGATTTGTTTCGCTATCAATTACAAAATANAATAACAATACTCTCTTGTGAATGAACGACCAGACACTGGCCGACATGTAATGTTCACTGACCTAGATAAACACAGGAAATGAATACAGCTCCCGGCGCCATTCGTTCATTCTGTCAAAATGAAAGATTGAATATTGTTTTTTTTTTGTAAAACACTATCTAAAAGAAGTGCTGAAGTATATACAATAGAAATTTGTACCCATCATCATACACTGCAATAGATGCTTTAGTAACACTCCTTCACAGTGTGCATCTTTTACAGGAATATTTGCGGTAATATTGATTAGAGACAATAGATAGAAGAAGATTCTGGTGAAATTCGAGACAGTTTGGTGGTTGAACTTGAATGAATCGTTCATTTAACGGAATTAGCCGTTCGAACAACATTGCTGAAAAAAAACCAAAGTTTTTACACCATTAGATATGTTGAAGTATATTTTCCTATATTTAAATTTTTGAAAAAGTGCGATTTTCATTTTTAGTCAAATGTGTAACATATATACATTGTATATCTAAGGCAGCTAAATTGTGTTTCACATTTTTATCTCGCAGACATTGTGATAACAGTCTATATTGTTTGTTTTATATAGATAATGCTGAGCCAATTCCATGTCCATTTGATCAATCATGGCATTTTAAAAAAAATCGTCAGATCTCCTCCTTATGTCAACCAAAAGCATTTCATAATTGTCTATCACTAAATACATTCCAAATATCATATAATAATCGATGTCAATCTAACAAAGGTTTATTTTTGTTTTTTATATTTTGTTCTTTAATATATTTATTATAAAATAGATGTTATAGCAATATGTTTTGCTCAATTTTCTGATGGAAATATGAATTATATTATATCTCGAAGTTTAAATCAACAAAGATTTATTTGTTTTGTATGTTTAATTTATTTGTTTGATAGTTTATTTATGTTTATAATTTAGTCATATACAAAAATAAAAATTAATGAAAAAAATTCACTACCAAATGAAGTTTATTTATCTGAAGATGAAACTTGTAGAAGTTTATTAACAAGAGAATCAGCTTTAATATTAAATGTTCTATCAAGTAAATCATTTTATAGGAAATTTTTTACAAACGAAAAAAAATAAAATAAATAATCTATAACATATTTTTAGATAAACATTATGAATCAAAAGTTCAAATGCCAGATTGGACACAAGGCATATGGTTATCTATAGGAACAGATCGTATCAATACAAATACATTTTATATCAATCAAAGTCAACTTATAATAAAAATCAATGATAATCGAATAATAAAGCATGATCTTCAGTTTTTACGTATTATACAAAATCAACAACAACAACAACAACATGAAAAAAGTATTCATATTCGAGCAAAATCTTTAGAACAATGGTAACAATAATTAGAAAGATTTAATAAATAATAAATGAATGAATGATTTTTTATTTTTAGTTCATCAATATTTTATTGTATCAAATTAATTTATCGATCTTCATCTGTTATTGATCTTTCTATAGGTATATTTTATTTACGAAACATTAAATTGGTTTAAAGTTTAGATCATAGTTTGTGCTTGTATCAGCGATATAAATCTTTAGAATAATATCTTACAAGGAAATCTTGCTAAGCGAATAATCGATTTTTAGATGAGTCTAACGTTATTCGAATAGACCCTATTGAAAGTAGAATTAAGACTAAAACATATCATACTCATAGATCTTTGTTTTTGAGTTATAGCCAATTGAATAAATTGTTTCTAAAAATGACTCGAATTTCGAGGTCAAATGGTGCAAAAGAAGAGTTTTTAATGGGATTTATTCATTGTGAAAGTATAAAAATTTCTAATTCTTATATTTATATTTCAAGAAATACTAGAAAGTCTGATACTTTCATAATGGATCAGTCTCGTTGAAATTTTTTTTCTGCAAAGTTGTACTGGAAACTCGCATAGTACAAAACTATTTTCAGCTTTTTATTATCTCAATAAGGTCTATTTAATGAGGTAAATCTCATCGCAAAATTAATTGAATATTTCTGATGCAGAGATGAAATCGACTTGGATTTTTGATAATCGATACCGGTCTAATTAGATGCTCTTACATAGATTTATCTAATAAAAATAGACAAATCAATAAGTTAGTTTGGTGACCGACCGGCAATCGATACCATCTTTGACTGAGCAAGATTCTTTTGAACGGTGCGATTACATTGAGAGACCGCATTGATCTCCTGAAAGTGATTTTGAACTCCTTAGAATCTCTCAAATAATAAAAACAGTTCAACGAAACAAAAAGGAAATGCCAAGGCATAAAACAATTATTTGTTAAACTTTCAAGTTTTGTTCTTAAAAAAGAAAAAAAAAAAGACCTTTGATATATATATTTATAAGCAAAAACTAACACATTATTAATTATTTCAGGATTCGATGAGCATCAATGTAAAGAAAGTCATATACATTACACTCTATTTAGTAAGTTATCTCTTTCTCTATGCTATTGTTTTTTTTTATTAATACTTTATTTGATAAGAACCTGTGACAAAATCAAATATTTCATGTCCACAAATTGGTATTTATAAATCATTAAATTCTTATCGATCATCTGTACCTATTTCAACATGTTCAACTGGTCTTTGGACTTTATCAATTGGTTGTCAAATAACAAATTCAAATGAATTAACATTAACTTCATCTTGTCGTCATGATATTGTACCTGAAGTACAAGTTATAACATCAATTAAAGGTATATGTCTTGCATCATGGCGTACCGATCATCGATTTCAACGTACAATGATTCTTTATGATAAAACAAAAGCATTTTGCTTGGTAAATGAAAAATTTATAGGCCTTTTTTTTGGAAACACAATCCAAAGACGAATATTAAAGTATCTACGGCAGAAATTTGCAATTCTCACAGACCGTATCTTATAACGTCTTGTTATACAACACTGGACACAATTGTTTAGACGATTTTTTTAAAATTGAGTTATGCTTTTTTAAAACAAAATATCTATGCGGTGAAATATTTATTTTATGATAGACTTCATGTGAAGTCTTTATCATGTTGAGGTAATGATTAATTTCTCTTTTCCAAATATCACATTCGAAAAAGCATTTGATGCTGCATTAGATAGGAGATGCTTTAAAATTTCCCAAAAAATGTTTTTCGATCTTGAGAAGTCATCTTCTGACAAATGTGCAATATCGAATGTTATTTCGAATACTATTATTTGGAAAATAAAATTTACTCATTACATAAAAATGATAAAGAGTTCACATAAAGTTTGCCATAAAATCGGAAAGAAAACAGTTTCAGAATATATATTACTAATAAAAATCTGTCCTATGATTGGAATCAGTTTGAACTCTAGGGTTAGTACAGGCAGCTCAGAGATATCAATATTAGAGTGCATAGAAAAAGACTCAGTTTTGTCCGTTTTAATACAACACACTATGATACAGAGTTTAAAAAAAACCCACCAATATACTGACGGTACTTTTGACGCAAGCTGTCCTAAAATAGATAAAATTTAAAAAATTTCCATGCGATTAGCAAGAGCAACTATATCATGTTACATTTTAATCCTATAGGGATTGCGCTAGCAACAAATGTTTTACTTAAAATATTTTCTTTAGATTCAACCATTAAAATCAATGACAGCTAGTTGGATTTTATCCAAAACCAGTTGTACAAATATTGGTTTATCATCAATTAATGTCGAAAATAGTTTACGCTATACAGATAATTGTCAAGAAAATAATCGTTTATTATTATTATCATCATCATCAAATATTTATTCAGTAAAACGAGTATATTATTTGTTGTTTTATTTAACTATGAAACTATTAATATATGTAAATGTGATGACATAATAAAACAAAAAAAAAAAGAAACATGAATTTCTATGGAATGTATTATATATTTAAATGAAACAGTGTCAGATAGATAAAGCATATAAAGAGAAAATGAAATTGGTCTTTTAGATTAATTATTTAATCGGAATCATCGTCTTCATTATTGCCATCATCATTCTGATTCTGTTGAGTGTTACGTGATTTATAATTGGAAAATACAACTAAAAAAAAAAGAAGAATGACAAATATGTCGAGTTTAAAAAGATTTACCTTTGTCTTCTAATAATGATCGAATATTTGGATCATGAGTAAGATCAAGTGGTGTTTTATTATCTTGATTACGAATACGTTTATCAGCACCTAAGAGATTATTAAATAATATTAAGAAATCAATAAATATTCTTTCGTTTTTTTTTTTTCATTTTATTACCATTTTCTATGAGCACTTGAACAATATCAGCATGGTTTTTCCAACTAGCTACATGTAATGGCGTATCACCAACATTGTTCTATTAAAATATTTATAAGAGTAAAAAGTAATCCTTTCCTATTTCCAGCTATTTTTGAAGATTTCATGGCAGATAGGTCTCAATCCGTTGAGTAAAAGTTGTTATAGACTGAATCATCCTAGATACTTTTCTATAGGAGATATTGGGTATGCAAGAGCGAAAAATGACTTGCCTTTATCCTATAATCCTTGGCAAAAAACCAGCAGCAGATCATATTTTGAAAGAAAAAAAAATTTAGACATCCTAAACACGTTCTGTTATCAGTAAAAGAAAATTTTAGCTTAATTAGATGTACTACGATTGAGAAAAGTGGAGTGATTCTGAATGTGTACATTTTAATGTTTTTCATTGAAAATGTTCTATCTTTTTGTCTTTTATAGTTATATATCCAATTTTGAACTATGTTCAGAGGATAGTAGGTACAGCACAACGCATACAAAGCAGAAAAAAACCAAAATAAAAAATCTAAAAATTTACAATCGAGAAACAGGAGATGGGTGTTCTTAAACTAGTCTTTCACTAACTAAATCAGATGGACTGTTCATTAGTTTCAGTTCTTTTAAAAAGAAATGAACGATCGAGGTCAAGTCAGTTACTTGATCCGAATCTATCATATGCCTGGTTTGAACTTTGATATTGTCATATAATCGAAAATTCACTAGTTTTAATCTTTGCCAAATTAAGGATGAACATATTTCATATCTCATAATTATAAAATTTTCGACTTTTTAGCCAAAAAAAAAAGCAATTCTTTCAAATTTCTCAGCATCCGTTTGAGACATCTGATACACACTTTTACAATTTTTCATTCGATCAATCTTATTAGAAGAAAATTTGAATCATCGATTTCATTGTAAAAGAAAAAAAACTGTACCTTTTGGTTAATAATTGATAACGAGAGAGGGAGCAATAATTTAACACAATCCATATCACCTGAATAACATGCCCAATGAAATGGTGTATTTCCTGCTTTATCAAGACCAAGAACAGACGCCTATATTACAAAATAAAAAATCATTTTATAGAAAATAAGTTCTGTACTAACGATACAATGACGACAATGCACTGGTTTAAACATGTACATAGAGACTAACAGTGGAGATGATGAACAGATGATTAAATTAGAGTGGTCTTGCACTGATTTCGATCTGGATGATCATTTCAAGAAAAAAGCTGACCTATTAACATAGACTAAAGCTCTTCGCAGTTCAGGGAAATATGAATAGAAATTTATTGCAGGATCACACAACTTTACTGATTTCCTACATCTAGACAAAATATGAGCTTAAACGAAGCAAATCACCTAAAATTCCTTGTTAGTTCTGATGGTTTGGTCATGTTATGATCTCCTGAGTTTACACGTACATGTCTAGACTAGTACAGTAATCTACTCAAGATCAATGATAATCGTCATCGTTGTATCTCTATTCTGTACCTTATTAGCAAGTGATTCTTGAAGAAATTCAATATTGCCACGTTTAGCCGCATCATGTAATGCGTTTGCAAGTTTTTCTGTACTTTCTTCAACTAAATAATAAAATTTTAAAAATATATAAATGAATACAATATTATTCTACCATAATTTTTTGGAATAAGACCACCTGTACGATTTTTATTAGTTGTAGCCAAATACCAATCTTTATATTTTGCATCATCAGTTACATAAAGTATTTCACCTTCTTCAAATGATAATTCTTCCGGTGAACGTGCTAAATATTAAAATTAAATAATTCATTTTTTCCTTAAAAAACAATAGTCATTACCTGTATAATTATACAAAGCTTTAACAATTGAAACATAACCTGGTTTCTAAAAACAAAAAAAAACAATAATACATGATTAAATCTAAAAGTTTCTAAAAAAAACTATTACCGCTGGTATTGGCGGAGGAACTCTTGTATGTCCAACAACACTCATCTAGAATAACAAAATCAGATTTATTTTCCCTACGGATAGAAAACATATCACAAAAGAAAAATAAAAAAAGAACACGCTCAAGAAACAACAAGTGGTTGATGCATATCAAGATTATCAAATAGTAATTCTCGTTTTGTTAAACTTCCACGATCTGGATGTCTAAAAACAGAAGAACATAAAAATTTTTTGTTTGTTTTGTAATCAAATTCTTCTGATTTCATTCTTACTTATATAATAATTGAAATATTCCAGTACCAATACGTATTGGTATACCCATTATAATACATTCAGATACTCCACATATAGTATCTTTTTGTCCATGATAAGCAGCATCATATAAATGATCAATAGTACGTTCAAATGATGCAAGCATTAAAACACTTTCTTTCATTTTAGCTAATCCATTTCTTGTCATACCAAGTACTTCACCCTAGATAACAAAAAAGAAATTCTTAATAAAGAAGACGGGTCGACAAAGAATGAAATCAGTCGCTTATAAAAGTGTGATTTCTGTCATGTGAAACTTTTACTCAAAATGATCCTCAGATAGAATTAGACCTATAACATTTATTTATGCTGTATCTTGGTGAATTGAAATAGTCAATGGTTGTTGAGGATGATCAACTTCTTTTTCTCTATAAATTCAAAAAATCTACTGTTAGATATTCCGAGGAGATTATTGTCAAAAAATGATTTTATGATTTGTTTTTGAGTATTATCCAATAGATTTCGGTTAGAAAAATAGAATTTAGATAAAAACTAATATGACATTTGAAATCAGCATCCGACATTGAATAGACTCATGTGATTTTCAAATATTATTATGAACTTTATTTTTCGTCATAAGCAATTGTTATAGGTCTAATTCTACCAGAGATCACTTTGAGTGAAATTTTCACATGACAGACAGAAAACACATTTCTATAGAGAACTGAGATTCTCAGTTATCAAGATACTTCCTCCACCCTGCGATTTCTAGCTGAGTACAACAAAAATTTACTTTATAAGTCATTAAATCAGCAAGAAGCATAACATGTCTAACATCAAGACCAATACCGTGTGATGCCATTGTGTAAACAATTTCATTGATTATTGTTGTTCGTGCTGCTTCAATACCCAAACAACGAAATACTTCCATTGTATTATTTGATGTTGTTTTATTAGCATTAACACCTCGTGTACCCATAACATCTCTCATACCTTCACCTTCGACAAATAATTTATATTTTACACCATTTTTATCGTCAATAGTTATAACAGCACGATCAACTGTTGATATACCTTTAACAACAATATTTGGTAAAACTTCTTTATAACGTTTCATTGTATAATACATATTTCCTTTTGATGTATCAGGTACATGTAAAGTAATTGTATCAGGTAACATTAATTCTAATTGATTATATTTAACTTTTTTCATTTTTTTATCTTCAACAATTGAATCTATAATTGATGTTGGAGTTATTTCAAGTTGTAATAAACGTATACGATCAAGATCAAGTTTTATTAATAAATAACAATCATCACATTCATATACTTCTTCAATATATTGTGAAATTTGACCAAGATATGTTTTTTCAATACGACCTTTTACTTTACGTGCAAAATCTTGATCCTGTTCATTCATTAATTCAGCTGTAATCAATGGAGTCGAAGGAGTTTTAACAGCATTTATTATTTCTTTAATACGTGGTACACCAAGTGTTATATTCATAGAAGCAACACCAGCAAAATGAAAAGCTAAAACGAAATAGAAGTTTTTTCAAAAATTTTAGTTAAAAAATTTCTAAATAAAAATCTCATTCGAAAGGTTCCAAAGTGTAAAAAACGAGTAAATTGATATTAATAGAAACAACAGAAAACATCCTTTTAGGCTTATCGTACAATGACCATCGTTTGCTAAAGATAAGTCGCGAAGAGAATACAAGGATATCAAAATGTTTTCTATAGAATTCAGAAAACTAGTTTTTTATCAGTTTTGGTTTTTCAAATACTTTTTATCCAGAACTGTTAATGAAAATTTGACAAATACCTCTCTTGATGAGAAGTTGTTTTAACTACTCAAATATTTTCTCTGATTTGTCCTAACTGTCATTGATCAAAGGTATTCTATGGATGTGACTTGACACATAGACTTTATAGGTTCGGATTTTGTTCGATTTATTTCCATTAAAAGCTTTTCACATAACTTTGTTGATAAGTGGATTTCATGATTATAAGAAGAGGTCTACATATATATATATATATATAAATTCAGTACTTGTCTGATCGCTTTTTGATTGTTTGCAGTTCGGAGTAAGAAGCGTAGGAAATAAATATCGCAGAAGAATCTTTCAAGGACACAACAGTGACGAAAATCTCTAATAAGATAAGAAGTACAAACTTTTTAATGTCATTTGTGTTGCTGGTTCACCAATACTTTGTGCACAAAGTGCTCCAACAGCTGTACCAGGTTCAAGTCGTGCTCGACCATATTTATATTTACATAATTGAAGAAATTCAAGTAATTGTGATTTTGTACATCGTTCAATTTCATAAAGAACATTTGCTATTGAACGTTGTTTTTTATTCGAACGATTTGTTGTTACTATT